CAGCTAGCATTCCATAGGGAAGGGCAAGAGGGGAAACCTTAATATAGCGGTTGCATAAGCAAGAGAAAATCATTTTGAGTGGTTATTGTGGAAAGTTGCTACTTAGATATTATTTGGTGGTTTCTGATTGGTAGAATTTCTAGTATCAACTTACTGTTTACATTAAACTTTGGTTCATTAAAAAAATAATTTAAGGTGCTAGAGACCATACTATTCTAATGGCCTCGAAATTAGAAAATTTTAACTGAATAAAGGGTAATTGGTGTGGAGTCTATGACAATAGTTAAGGCCCTAGCTTAGAAGGTCTGATTTAATAAATTAGTAGAGGTTATAAAGAGCATAGGAAATATATTGAAGAGAATTTTGCTTGATAGAATTTGGTGGTTTATTAGCAACAAGGGAGACAGAAAGAGTAATATGGGTTTATTACTTAGTTGACAAGATGAAGAATAGTTTAATGACCATATAAATAATATAGTATGAGGTATGGATTGGTTTAAATGAGAGAGGTAATTATTTAAGTTTTTGACATTTAGGTAGAGAAATGGAATTGGGAGTTCATTTCATGTGTCTATAATTTAATAGATAACTCTTGACTGGAGGTATAACTATGTGGGTAATCTGCTTATGTGAGGCAGTAAGATACAGCAAGGAAGGTGATCAACTGAGGTGTGCTAGAAAATAGAGATGTAAAAAGAGGGAAACCTAGGTTATCAAAATGTTAAATGGCTTGCAGAAGAAGGGGAATCCAGCAAAACAGAATGAGAAATAAATATGAAAATGGTAGAAAAATTAGGACTGTGGTATCATGGCAACAAAGTGAAAGAATTGATTTATCATAGTAAATGGATTGATACTGTCAAATGAAATATGGACACCAACAATGGTGATCCCTTATTGATGTAATACTCAATTGATAATGGAATGAATTGTTGCACAGGATATTGTAGAAGGATACTGAACTCAGATCAATGTCTAGAAAGACTTCTTAGAGGAAGTAATTGAGTGTAAAATACTAAGATAATGAAACAATGAACAAGGCTAGTTCAAAAAAAGGGAAAAGAGATCTGTAATAGGCATTGAGGTTTATCAGATGGTTTCCAGGAGTGTAAATAGTTGTATATTATGGGAGAGGAAGATATTGTTTGCAAGGTGAATGGAATGGAGATGAGATTGAAAAGTAGGAAGGAACTTGATCAAGGGTATTGTGTGACAAGTCAAGCAATTTGTAATTGATTTTTCCATTTTTTAAAGAAAACTTATTTTTTACTTGGAGACAGAGAGAGAGAGAGAGAGAGAGAGAGAGCGAGTGAGTAAGCACACACACACATACACAGAGATTTTGCATCCATTAGTTCACTCCACAAATGACTGCAATGGTTTGGCGAGACCGAAACCAGGAACCCAAAGATCCATCTGGGTCTCCTACATGGATGACAATGCTCCCCCGAGTACTTGGAACATCATCCTCTGTTTTCACAGTAACATTAGCAGGCAGCTGGATTGGAAGCAGAGTAGCCAGGACTCAAATGGTGCTCTGATATGGGTTGTTGGTATCACAGATTGAGGCTTAACCAGCTGTTCCACAATGCTGGTCTTATAATCTTCTTAAAATTTGTTTAAATGTTTATTTATTTGAAAGGCAGGGTGACAGTGAGAGGGAGATAGCCAGACAGAGCTGGATATGCCATCTGCTGGTTCTCTCCCCAGATACCTGCAACAGCCAGAGCTGGGCCAGGCCAACGCCAGGAACTCAATCCATATCTACCATAACTGCATCAGGGATGCAACTACTTGAACCATCACCTGTTACCTCACAGAGTGCACATTTGCAGGAAGTTAAAATCGTGAGTGGATTTGGGACCTAAACCCAGGCACTCTGATAGAGGATGCTGATGACCCAAGTGGCATCCTAATTACTATGGCAAATGCACACCCCAGTAATTAATCTTTCAAGGCTGTGCCACTAATATGTTAAATAAGGATGACATATCATCAGACTTGTATTTGGGATATTCATTACAGCGGTAGTGAATACCAGAGAGAGAATGGAATAACAAGAATTAATCAAACATCAGTTCGCGGTTTTTAGTAAGTGAGGGAAGAAGTGATAAAAACATGAGATAAAGCAATGGCAGAGTATTTAAGAAAACTAGTTCATTTAGATATTTTGGACACTGAATATGCTAATCTCGTAATATTTGGATTTCAGGTAGCATAAGAGAAAGAGAGCCTAAGGTAGTTCCAGATTTCTGGGCTAACTATGTACAGTAGTAAAATTCACTGAGGTAGCGTTCTTGAGAAAACAGGTTGGGAAAGAAGATTTTTGTTTGGGAAAGTTGAGTTTAATTAGATCTCAGCTTAACCATGCTTTTCTCTAGCACAAGGAAGAGGTCAGCCTAAAGATAGAAATCTGACATCAATCAACACAAAGTGAATGTTGAAACTGTGGAATCACTGGAGTATGTACAAGTTGAAAGGAGACAAATGGAGAGGATTCTTTCAGTGTTACATTTGAGTAATGAATAGGGTATGAATATTGTCTTTGAAAAATCCAGAAGTAAACAAAAGTTACAGAAAAACTAGGAAGAATATTGTACAGAATACAAAGGATTTTGAGGAAGAAATGTTCTATAACAATTCTGTAAGAGTAATTCTCTTAGGATAATAGAAACTGTGGACTGAGCTATTAGAAGGGCAAGGGTAACGTGAATTCTATTTCAGGAATTTGAACTCTTAATAATAAAAGACATATAAAGTTTGAAGGCTTGTGGTATATGTGCTTATTTGTATATGTTCATTTTAAAGATGATTTAGGTATGTCATACCCATAGATGAAAGGATAGTGCCAGTAGAGGAGAAGTAATTTAAAATGGAGGGAGATGGAACTCATAACGGTGACAAAGAGCACAGAATAGGTGGGAAGAAGAATAGGAGGCATTTATACTCACTTTAGATAGGAATATAAATAGCAGGGAATAAAGAGAGGTTAGTTGACGGAGGTCAGACTTGATGGTCTTATATTCTCTGTGCAAAAGGGTACAGACTGTTTAGGAAGCTCTAGGGTAAGGATTTGAAAGTTTTAAGATTTGCAGAGGCTACTCTTGTGAATGGAAGCAAGATGGAGCCAAGTAAAGAACTTGGCTAATCCTTAAAGGATATTTGAAAGTATAAATCTAAAGTAGCACTAATTTGCAACCCTTTGTGGGTTTTTATTTCTAGCTGATAGCATGTGCTGCAGGAAAAGAGTTTGTTTTGAATGCTGTCACATTGATAATCTGTAGTATAGGTGCCATATACACAATGTCATTGTCTGCTTTAAAATGCATTCTCTCACATTCAAAACATAGCAACTTATTTCTAGTGAGTTAATTGGTCCATGAGATACAGTGAGTCTGTGATTTTAAATCAAAAAACTTGCAGATATGGAGATATTCCTTAAAGGCAATATAGGATATATTTCCCAAGGAAAGTTGATGTATTCTTATAAAAGTATCCAACATTCTAGTTAAGCAATGATACAATTTTGAACTACTGCAAGTTATTTTGTAAATATAATATTGATCACTTTTTATGAGGATCCACGGAGTACTTTTAGAATAGAATTCCACTGAAAATCTGCTTGTGTCATTACCAGTCAGAGATTAGGATGATTATTATCAAAATTTTACATATATGTTATTAGATTGGGAGAAGAATCTTTTTTTTAAATTTTTATTGTACACATTTGTGGCATATAGTGTGATAAGTGAACACATTTGAAGTGTGAAGAGCAAATCAAGTCAGTTAGCATTTTAACACTTCAAACATTGATAATTTTAAAAATTTACAAATATACATATTTATGGTGTATTATATGACCTTTCAATAAATGTATATAAAGTGTAATTATGAAATCAGAACACTTAATGTTTACCTCTCTTTGTCATTATTTATGATTGTAGATTTCAAGTTCCTTTTTTCTATTTGCTTAGAAAATATATAATAGGTTATTTTGAACTGGAGTTACACCAGTGCACTATGTAACACTAGGAACTTACTCCTTCTATAACTGTAATATAATACCCATTATACAATGTTCCTCTAATTCCCTCCACCAAATCCTAGGCTTTAGTAGTTACTATTTCATGTTCAGATCAACTTTTAGTTTTCATAAATGTGGGAAAACATGCCATACTTTGAATGGAGAAAGTCATCATTAAAAATCTTGCCTTCTGGGGTAAGTGTTTAGCATAGCACTTAAGAGGTCACTCATGGGGGCCAGTGCTGTGGCTCACTTGGCTCCAGTCCAGCTCTCTGCTGTGGCCCGGGAGTGCAGTGGAGGATGGCCCAGATCCTTGGGCCCTGCACCCGCATGGGAGACCAGGAGGAAGCACCTGGCTCCTGGCTTTGGATAGGCATGGCTCCAGCCATAGCGGCCATTTGGGGGGTGAACCAACGGAAGGAAGATCTTTCTCTCTGTCTCTCTCTCTCACTGTCTAACTCTACCTGTCAAATTAAAAAAAAAAAAAAAAAAGAAAAAATTATGTCACTCAGGGTACAAGCATGCCAAATCATAGTGCCTGGGTTCCAGTCCTGGTACTATTTCCAATTTCAGCTTCTTGGTGCTGTGTATGCTGGGAGGCAACATGTGGCAGTTCTAGTAGTTAAGTCCCCAAGACCTACATGGGAGACCCAGATTGATTCCCTGGCACGAGACTTTGGTGTGGACATTTATGACTGAATCAGCACATGAGGCATCTTTCTGTTGCTACCTCTCTTTCTCTCTTTCAAATAAATTTAAAGAAAATAATCTTGATTTGTCTAGGAAATTGAAATTGTTCAATGCTACTAATTCTTGATCTTTTTTCTAACAAAATTGATACAAAAATGTATCTATTGAACTGTTAATGCCTATTAGATACTTATAAATGTTTTAATTCACTCATACCAATTTAAATTATGTTTTGGAAATACTTCTATTACACATAAAAATTATCAAATATATTTTATTTATACAGGGAGCAACCTATGAAGATGAAATTGATAATATTAAATATACCATTTCAAAAATTAATGAAATTTTGGCTCATACTTCACCAGTTTTGATTGTTCAAAGATGGATACGTGGATTCTTAGTAAGAAAATCTTTGCGGTATGCTTTATTTTCTTTACCATTTGAATATTGAAATAAGAAAATCAATGTTGAAAAGTCAGTTCTCCAATAATTTGTACTTATATTTTCTATCATAATGATTCTCTATCAAAATAGTCTAGATTTAAGGAAAACACTATACACTCTATAGTAATATATAATATAATTTAATTGATATTTAAATCATTCATGGAAAGTGTGTATTATGAAAAAATATGCATAGTTTTTAATATTCTCTGACCAGAACTTATCTTTTAATTTCATTTTCCACAAACTTTTCAAAGTACCTGTGTATTAAGCATGATCATTGATATTTTTATCTAAAAGTTACCAATCAAAAACACATTGAATTTTTCATGTAATAGAAATGTAAAACGTGAACTATATAACAGGATTCAATAAGTATATAAACCATGAAACAAAGATATAATATGAGAATTTTGCAATTTGTTTAGATATGAAGAAAATTTTGCAAAGACATGGTACCACATCAGTATATCTTACCTTTAGTTAGTTGTCTCCTTTCCTTCTTATTCTTGGTATTCTTTTGCAGTAGGTGAACTTGTAAATAAAGGAAAACTTTACTTGCCAAACTCTTTCAACATTGTTCTTTGCGAGAAACAATAGGATATTTTGTCACTGATTTGTATGTCTCAGTTTTGCCAAATATCAAACATATAAAAATAAGTCAGCATTTTCATTTACCTTATTCTCAGTTACTAAATGGTAAAGTTGAGAAGATAGCAATGAAATTTAACCTTAAAAGGTAGGATTAAAATAGACCTAGAGTAGGACAATGGGCTTTTCCTGAGGAAGCTATATAGTAAGTTCCACCAAAATGAGATTCAACAACCTATGGTAAAGCAGAGAATGTTTTCCTTTATTAGCTGTATATGCTAAGGCATAAGTGGCAGTAGTTCTGATGGAAGCAAATTTGAGGAATACATAGCAAAACTGAGATCAATACAGTGGCTGTAATTTCTGAGGAAGTAGTTCCATATACTTTCCAATCCTGGGTTAAAGTAAGAGAGGGAATGAATTCACAAATGGAATAAAGAATGTGGAAAAAAAGCAGGCAGTTGCCAACAGGTACATATTTACTAAAATATTATTTCTATCTTATATGTTATGTTTAAATTTGGTCTGTACGTGATATGAAATAAGCATCTAATTAAAGGGCCTTATTTTTAATTTATGTTCCTGGAAATTGAATTTTTATTTTTAAAATTGAGGCTCCCTCCAATATTTATGTAACTTAAGATGAAAACCTTGTTCATGGAAACAATTTCCCAAAACTCAGAAAGTATGAAAAGAGTTTGAATGAGTTATGGAGTGAGATGTCTGTGATAATATATGACAGTACAAATACAAAACAGACTGATTTAAGTTTTTTCTCTCTGTAAAGCTCTGTTCCAATACGCTCATTACTTAACTACTCAGAATTTCAGTTTCCTCATCTGTAAAATAAAAAGTATAGGATAATAACAGTACTTATTTTTCTATTTACTAGTGGGGATTGAGATAATGAATATAATTCACATAGCACCTAGCAAAAATGGATATTACATTCTTTTCATCAGCTATTTAAAAATATTATTTTTTGTTATACATGTCTGCATTATTTGACTCTGTGAGGACTTTCCCTAGATTTCTTACTCCTTTCCTATTACATTTCCACAGCATGCACAAAGCAACCTTTCAAACATATAAATCTAATGATTTTGTTCATAAACTTAGATTCTTCTAGTGGCTCCCAGTTTTCTTAGGACAAATGTCTTGGACATTTACCCTTGCAGTGTCTTTCCTAATCTGTTATTACAAGCACTCACCATACTGTGTTGCAGTTTTTTCTAATTATCTGCATTTCCAGATGTACTCTGAGATCTATGACATACAAGTACTACATCTCTATTTGTTTTCTATGCTGTAACTCTAGCATATAATAATGCTAACAACATGTTAGGTATTCAAGATATATTTGCTGAATTGATGGAACTGCGGGAGCTGAAATCAGAAGAGTATTCTGGATTTATCAACAGGAAAGTGAAAAGCAAAAATTGGGAAACATGCAATGCTACCTTGAGAGGCATCTAAGGATTCCCACAATTTAGGGGTCCAAATTGTTAGTTCACTCTAATGTCTGTTTTTAGCCAAGAGAAATGTCTATCACCCCAACATGCAAATATTTGGCACCTTGTTAAAATTTTTCACTTAAATTACTTGAAATATACACAACCTTGAAATATTATATATAACCTAAATTTATAAAATTGTAATGATTAATGTTATTATCTTTTAGAATTATATTATTTTCAATATGGATGATAGAGTATATGGGAAGTACATTTTTATTTTTAGAATGAGATATTGCAATCCAATTGGCAGCCTCCTAAAGCTATGGGCAACTATATTTGGGCCTAGGCAGAATTATCATTTGACTTAATGGGTTGTGAAAAAGAGAAAAACATAGAAAATAAAATAGGAAACATTTACTGACTGTACAGTATATAAAAAGAATCATATTTAATTAACTTTAGTCCACATTATCTCTCATTTACTACAGCAGAGCTTTTGAATTTGCCCTGTACTTCTGTTTTGCAAATGAGGGATTGAAAATTTAAAGTTTGTGGAGAGTTTGGGAAAGGTATTAAATATCAGGTGGCCATTTTGTGTTGGACATATGTGATCTATTAAGAAGAGATGAAATTGTTTATGTAAAATCTGCAAATGCTAGGTTCCAATGTTTAATCTATTTCAAATTCCATGTTCCTTTTCCTTTTCTTTCCATAACCCTGTTAACTATTTCAGAATGCTCTAGTCTTTTTAGTATGGTATGATATTTGTAAACTAGGATTTTGATACCCTTGCTACTAGGGTATCATGGCTCCTAGGCCAGTTTAGCAGACAGAATGATTCCACTTAAATTTCATGAATTCCAATTCAACACGGAGAGTTCTTCACTGCCTTCATTCAACATTATACTTTCCTTCTACCATGAGAATTCTAGTTGCCAACATCATCAAGAATTTTGTTCAGTAATTTAATCCTACAATACTTGCCAAATAGTTTCAGAATTGCTGTTTGCGTACTATCAATAACATATTCAATACAATTCATATCTTTATTTAAATACAGCTCAAATTTACAGTATATGATGGCCATGGAACTGTTTTGCTCAGATCTTCTAGAACCTTTTTCCAAGGGATATATCTGACTTTATATGAAATTATTTGATACTTTTTAATGTAAAGAGACAAATTCCTTGAAAAAAACCACAATTGTCAAATTGACAAATGAAAAAAACAAAAAATCTGAATAGTCTGACATACATTAAAAAATATAATCCTTCATTAAAATCCTTCCGATGAAGAGAGTTCAAGGCTAAATGACTTTACTGATGGATTCTGTACATTTAAGGGAGCTACAATATCACTTTACAGAAAAATTTCAAATAATAAAAGAAAGACAATTTTGAGAAGTCAGCAAAACCTTGATAGCAAAACTATGATAAGGACATTACAAGAAAGAAATTGCATGCTAGTCTAAAGAATATACATGTAAAAATCATGTAAAAATCTAGAAAATCATATTTAGTGTTATATAAAGAGAATAATACCCGATTACCAATATAAGTTTATTACAAGAATGTGGGGTTGGTTTAGCATTTGAAAATCTATCTCATTAGCAGAATAAAAAGCAACAATAACACCAAAGGCATTCCACAGGTTGTGCAATATCACATTTACTGAAACTTGCTCAAATTGTGAAACAGTTATGTCTTTGCATGGTCCCAAGATACTTGAGATTTGACCTCATTTGATCTCATCTCACATGGAATGGGCAGAATTCCATGGTGGCCCACATGGTCTTTGCTTCCTGGTGTTACTATTTGATATTTTATAGATGTAATTAAAATTACTTATTAATCAGTTGACCTCAATATGTAAATAGGTTTATTCTAATCACATGAGCACTTAAAAAACTTTTTTCTCTGACTGTTTGTGGAACAGGACATCAGAGAAATTCAAAGCACAAGAGGGATTTGAGCCACTTTTGCTGTCTTGAATGTGGAGAATACCACATACAAGGAAAACCAGAGTAATTTTTGTGATATAGGAGTCCTAAGCAAATAACTTAATTTTGCCAGCAACTGGAATGAGCTTGGAAATGAACTATCCTCCTGAGTCTTCAGATACAAGTTCAGCCCAGACACTAAGTTTGTGGAATGATGTTCAATGGTAGAAAAGTAATAGCCCACAGGACTCTGCAAAATGGGGACACAGTTACGATATACACAGTCTCCTTAACACAATGCTTTGTAAAGTGAGGACTTCAGCATAAAAATCACTTCAATATTTGCACAAAAATCAGCTGATAAAATTCAGGACTTATTTAAGATAAAAAGAAAAGTTTAGCAAGCTTGAATCAGAAGGAAACTTCTTTAATCTTATAATATCTCTTTTACCACACTATTAACAAAAAAATGTGAACTATTAGAATTTTTCTTCTGGAGATCAGGAACCAAGCAAGAATGGTGATGGTTAGTACTGTTCTTTTAACATTGTAATTGACATGGGTCAGTAGAATAAAGTAAGAAAAATAAAAATAAATCTAAAGGATTTTTTTTTAACCATCAGCTCATATTAATTCCCTGGCCATAGGATTTATTTGAGTGTGATCCAATGAAGAAGAGAAAGCATAACTTTTTTTATAGTCATGTTTTATCCATTTTCTTTCTTTTGGATGATCCTCATGCTCATTATTAAAACATAAGAGCAACAGCTACTTCCCTGGGGGAAGAAATGACACATGGAAGAAGTGAGCCACAAGAAACCCAGAGACATGGAGTTAGTGTCACACAAAGTCTGGATCCCTTCCATGGATTTTTCAGTTTTGAGAGATAATAAATTGTCATTTGTGTTTAAGCCATTTAAAATTGGGAATTCTTTCTTTTGTAAGGCAAAAAGATACCAACTGATGACTAAGCCTACTAGAAATAT